TCTGAAGTAGGCGTCTCCAGCTCTGAAGTAGGCATCTCCAGCTCTGAAGTAGGCGTCTCCAGCTCTGAAGTAGATGTCTCCAGCTCTGAAGTAGACATCTCCAACTCTGAAGTAGACGTTTCCAGCTCCAGCTCTGAAGTAGACATTTCCAGCTCCAGCTCTGAAGTAGACGTCTCCCCGTCTCAAGTCTCGACGTCGCCGTCTCAAGTGTTCCAGTCCCCACAAGTGTCCCAGTCTCCACAAGTGTCCCAGTCTCAAGTGTCCCAGTCTCAAGTGTTCCAGTCTCAAGAGTCCCCTGAGTTCCAGTCTCAAGTGTCCCAGTCTCAAGTATTCCAGTCTCAAGAGTCCCCTGTGTTCCAGTCTCAAGTGTTCCATTCTCAAGAGTCCCATGTGTTCCAGTCTCAAGTGTCCCAGTCTCAAGTGTCCCCTGTGTTCCAGTCTCTCGAGTCCCAAGTGTTCCTGTCTCAGTCCCTGTCTCCAGAGTTCCAGTCTCAGTCCCTGTCTCCAGAGACCCTTCCTCATCCGCTGCAGTCCCTTCCTCGGCCTCCTCCTCCAAAGCCCCCGATCCCCAGGGTTTCCTGTTCCCACCTCCTGGTTCCCTGTCGCCGCCCCCCTAGACTTCCCTGGTCCCGCCTCCTGGTTCCCCGTCGCCGGCCCCCTAGACTTCCCTGGTCCCGCCTCCTGGTTCCCCGTCGCCGGCCCCCTAGACTTCCCTGGTCCCACCTCCTGGTTCCCCGTTGCCGGCTCCACAGATTTCCCTGGTCCCGCCCCCTGGTTCCCCGTCGCCGGCCCCCGAGACTTCCCTGGTCCCGCCTGCTGGTTCCCCATTGCCGGCCCTCGAGACTTCCCTGGTCCCACCTCCTGGTCCCCCGTCGCCGGTCCCCTAGGCTTCCCTGGTCCCGCCTCCTGGTCCCCTGTCGCCTGTCACCTAGGCTTCTCTGGCCCCGCCTCCTGGTTCCCTGTCGCCGGCCTCCCGGGGTCTCCTGTACCCTCCTTGCCCGCCCTTTAGCCTCTGCTTCCAGTTCAAATCAGTTTCTCTGGGCTCCTTTGATCGGTTCCATCACATAGCGATGATGGGGGACCATTGATATTGTCCTGTGGGATGATGTGGGTGAGGGGGTGGAGGGTCTGAGTTTGGAGAATCCAGATGTTCCCTGGAGGTGGGTTCACTGGGGGTGTCTCGGAATGGGGGGTCGTTGCCCCGCTCTGGAGGTGCTTGGGTTGCCTCGGGGGGTGGACTACTGGCAGTTGTGAGTGGGGCCTCTTGGAGATCTTGGCAGCGGCCATGGGTCGCTGCCTGGCAGCTGCATTGCCCCTGGGTGGGTCTGGGAGGGGACCTGGGGGCTCGGGGTGTGGGGGTGGCCGGCCCCGTGTGGGGATCTGGGTGGGGCCTTGGGGGTTGGATCCTGACATGTATGCTGCCAGGAAGAAGGCAGGAACATGCAGCAGTGCCTGGCCCGGGTTCAGGGGCCTCGGGTAGACCTTGGCTCCTCTGCTGTCCCATCACAGGGGTGGGGGATGTCCAGGAGGGGGAGGACCCAACCTTACCTGGATGTCTTATGTCTTTTATATTCTGGAAGTTGTGCAAATGCAGGGATGGGCATAGATATTCTGCTGGGGTGGGGCTGGGTTGGTGCCCTCGGACTCCATGAGGCTCTGCAATGCTGCTGCTTTGGGCCCTGGCAATGATGGGCTGGGGTCTCCATGCCCTGGGTGGCATTTTGACAACAGAGGTGCCTATTGGGGCCAGTGGGGGAGCTGGCTCCCTGGAGGGCTAAGCCCAACCAGCCATTCCTCCCCATACCGGCATATGTTTCTCCTCCTGCTCCCTCACATCATCACACAAACATGCACATAGGACCTTGGGGGGTGGACAAGTCAGGGAGTGCGGGTATGGACCCCATTTCCGCATTCCTGTGGCAAAATGCCCCCCAGTTTTATTTGCACCTTAAACACGTCCACCATTGACATTCATCACAAACACACGCTTAGGGCCTTGGGAGTGAGCACATTTAACGGCAGTTGGCAGGAGGATTTCTCAGCCTCATCCCGAGTGCCGGTGCCCACTTCCAATTTTAAACTGCACTTAGACACTGAGGGCTGTGGGTGCAAGTGGGCTGGTGTGGTGGCATCAGCTGGCATAGGCCAGAAAACGCCCGCACTGCCCGCTCACCACAACCATGGAATACACCTCATCAACACACAACAACACTATATTGGAGCAGGCGGAGGGAGACTAGGGGTCTTAGCACATCTCTGTTGTTGCTTGGCTTCCTGGGGCTGGAGGCTAGGAGGGAGATCTGGCCGTCTGGTTGGGGTCTGGGGTGGTGGGTTGCTGTGCTCAACATTGGGCGGGGGAGCCTGCCATCAGCACCCCAGCAGAAAGGGTCAAACTCTGGTAACCGGTAATGGTAGTACCCCATGTGCAGCAGTACCAGGACCAGAGTGAATAGGGTGTGTATGGGGAGCATGAGTGGGTGTCCAGTGTGCATTTTTGGTAAGTCTTTGGTTGCATGTGCATGTGTGAGCATGAGGGAGGGAGTGTGTGACTGTGTTTGTGTATGACTGTATATGTCCGGTAGGGCCTTTGACTCCTCTCTTCTCCTGGGACTTCTTTTGATGATATAGATCTTAGTCTCCCCTCCCCCTGCCACACCTGGTGTGGAGTGTGGTGCCTTGGTCTGCCTGAGTGTTTGTGGCTCCCGGGTCAGGGGGTTTAAGATTTTTGGCGTCTGCCTGGGTACATTATCCACACTGCAGGTAAAGGGAGAGGAAATCATGTGCATTTCATCCTCCATTGTTCTGAGATCTTCAAAACACCTTGAAAACTCACCATGTAACGCTCCTAACATGGATGAGTACCTGCTGAGGTGATCAGCTGATGGTGTGACTTCGTTCAGGGTTTGCATGTGAGTGAGTGTTGCTCTCTAGTTGACTTGAAAGAAACTGCAGCTTTCTCATGAAGGCCTTCACGAGGCTGTGCATTTCAGGAACAAAAAGGCCCTTGCCTTGCAGTTTGGTGTTCAGTTCATTCATCAGTGCAGTCACATCAACAGCAAATGCAAAATCTGCCATCCAATCCTCATCTGAGAGCTCTGGAATGTCTTTGCCTTTCCTCTCGCAAAACTCTCAAATCTCTGCTTTCAAGTCCCAAACCCTCTTCAGCACTTTCCCCAGGCTGAGCCATCTGACAGCTGTGTGGTAGCCGATGTCACTATGCTCAGTCTCATGCTCCTCCAAAAGAGCGACAAACTGTCTGTGATTCATTGTCCACACCCTGATGAAGTTTATTATTTCAGTAACAACATCAGTAACATGGTTTATTTTTAGCACTGACTTGCACAACACATGTTGGTTAACTTTATTTTCTCTGTAAGTGTTTTTCTCCCCAGAAGAAGCTACAACGACGTTCTGCTGAGCTGTGGTGGCCTCATGGAGGGGGCCATCAACTAGCACACTGCTGCTAACCACTAATACATTCTCTCTCTCCTGATAATAACTTTTTGTTTTCATTGACTTTTGATGTGCTAATACTAGTTTATCCATTTAATTATAGATCCACTAGGATACATACAATAAAGTTTATCTTTCACCAAATACAATATTTACTAAGACATCACAATATAACTATAGACACATTACTTGTGTGTGTGTGTGTGTGTGTGTGTGTGTGTGTGTGTGTGTGTGTGTGTGTGTGTGTGTGTGCCTGCTCTGTCTTCTCGATCCCCAGTGAGTCGTGGAGGATGGCTGCTTATACTGAGCCAGGATTCTCTGGAGGTTTCTTCCTGTTAAAAGGGAGTTTTCCTCTCCACTGTCGCTGCATGCTTGCTTAGTATGAGGATTGCCGTATAGTCACTGACACTAGTCAGTGACTTGATGCAATTTGCTGGGTTCCTTATATAGGAAACATTATTTCTGATTGGCTTAATGAACTGTGAATTGGAATGTTTATTATGTGAAGTGCCTTGAGACGACTCTTGTCGTGATTTGGCGCTATATAAATAAACTTGAATTGAATTGAATTGAATTGGTGTATAATACAATGCAAAAACACCAATTTTTGATCTGCATCGATTTCTGTCACTTTATCTTGCATGCGTTTCAAAAGTCCGACATTTTTCCCTGTAAGATTTGGACAACCGTCTCTTGTGACACCTGACAGTCTCTCCCATTTCAATCCCAGAGTGTCCATGCACGCATTTACCTCTGTAGAAAGATCACTCCCTGTCGTTGTCCCTTTCATCGACCGCATTGCTGCCAGCTCCTCTGTGAGCTTGAAGTCCGTTATCCCCCGGACAAATACGTGCAGCTGGGCTGTGTCGTGGACATCACAGCTCTTGTCTAAGGCCAATGAAAAAAAGTCAAAACTTGCCACTTCATGTTGCAGCTGAAGCTCCAGGTTCCCCACTATGTCCTCGATCCTCCTGGTCACGGTTCGCCTGGACAGCGGGATTTGCTCAAATGCGCCTTTTTTTTCAGGGCATATTAGTGCGGCAGAGTCCACCATGCACTCTTTGACAAACTCTCCCTCCGAAAACGGCTTGCTGTTTTTAGCTATTTTGTGGGATATCACAAAGCCGGTCCTGGTTGCTGCATCCCTGGATGTGTGAAGCTTAGTAAAAAAGCCTTGCTGCTTTTGCAACTTCGCTAGCAAAGCTTTGGATGTCCGTGCCCTCTCAGCATCAGACAAGTTCTTGTATTTTTCCGAGTGTTTTTTGTCGTAATGCCGACTCAAATTGTAGTCCTTAAACACGCAATCTCCTCCCCACAAACCAAACACACGGCTTTACCTCCAACTTCAGTAAAAAAAATACTTAGCAGTCCAATTTTTGTTGAAAATCCTGCATTCGGCATCTTTCTTTTTTTTTTTTGCATTAGCGGACAGTTCTGCGGGCTACAATCACCATGTCAACTGCTGGCACCTGTAGCTAAACGTATTGTGTCATTGTGTACGTAAAAAACAACTTCAAAATAAAAGCAATGCAGCCTTAGTCCATGCATGAGGTAAAATGAGAAAATACATTTATTTTGTAATTTCCAATTAACCTTACGCGGGCCGGTCAAAGTCAACCAAAGGGCCGTATGTGGCCCGCGGGCCGTAAAATGCCCAGGTTTGCCCTAAGGAATATGTTCCCACATCACAGGCTGTGCTTATGATATGGTCTGACACATAATTTTAAATCAATATGGAGTTTTCTCATCACAGATAGAAATGTTTATCTGTCAAACTATTTAAACAACAAAAAAAGACAAATTGAAAGTTCAAATACAAACTCAGGTCTTTAAGAGAAAGACTTTAATTATTTTATTGATCAACAATAAAATGTTAGCATTACCATTTTTTAAACATATAGATGAAGAACTGAAATTGACTTTTAAATCAGATGTGCAAATAATTAAAATCTTTCTTTTTTTCAAAAACAAATTAAACTTTTATCCAATAGCTCATTCAAAGTCAGTGCACAGACCATTCCATTTACTTGATGTTGGGTGAGTCCCTAAAATGCAACTCATTTAGAAGTTAAAGGCTAGATGCTTTTCCAGCGGGATTCCCACACAGCTCGATAATCAAGATCACCTATCCACAGTTGTTTGGCTTTTGATACAAAATATTAAATGCATACATTTTCATTTGGATTATTTTCCACAATATTCCTGAGTTGGTTGTTTTACGAAGAAACATTTTTTTAACTGCAGATACATTTTACATTTTAAATTAAACATTTTCAAAATAAATTCAAATCAAGACTTCAACATTTCAGAGCAAATGTAGAAACAAATACATCGAGTAGTTATTTAATAGAGTTTTTCTGATTAGTACATTAAATAAAACATTATATTAGCTTTAGAAAATACTGTAAAACTGTTTCAATCTTTGACACTCAGGACACATCTTTTTACCACATGGTAAATTTCATAATGCGCAATTGTCATGTCAATTTTTTTTCTGCGAGCAAATTCGAACAAATGACAGTATCTGTCCTGGGTACTATGAGAGATTCAGAATCTGGGCCAAAGCCAGCACTGTGAGTGAGAAGATTGTCAGTGTACTCATTGAGGGTTGAAGAAGCCTGATGGCCGAGGACTCTGCAATTTTAGAAAATGATAATGTGTCAGTTAGTGTATCTCATCACAAAAATATGCCTCCCTTAAACTTTACTTTTCATTTATCTTTGACTTACCCACAACGACGCTGCCTGGTATAACATTCAGAGTAGTGTCGTTGAGTGCTCTGGCCAACTGTACTTTAGCTAAAGCCAATGGAGGCAATGAAGAAGAGTTTATGAAGATTAGATCCATGTTGACAGCAATAGATCCATTCCTACAATGACAAACAGAAAGGTGACATTTATAAAAGATGTACATGCATATGTATGTCAATGTTGGCCAGTAGGTGGCGTGAGTCTTACGTGAAATTGTTAACATGTGAGCGACGATAAAATGGTGCATAGAGGTTCTGGCACACTTTATTGACCTGAAAGATAATTTTACTGTTAAACATTTGCAAACACCAAATAACTGCCAGCATTTTTTCTTTCCCTAAAAGGATATATTTTCTAGTATAAAAACTATAGCAATTCTAGTAGAATTACCTCTCCGGTTACTTCTTTAGACAGTGAACTGTAAGGTGTTGTTGAATTGTTGCTCAGGTCTGATGTAAATGTTCTGTCCATGCGAAAGCGTAGATCAAGAAAACCCTCAGTGGCTGTAGGGGGATCTGTCGCAGCTGGGGTGGTAGATGCCGTAGTTGCTGTCGTAGTAGTTGTTGTTGTTGCTGTAGTTGTAGTTGTAGTTGTCGTTGTAGTTGCCGTTGTAGTTGCTGTTGTAGGTGCCGTTGTAGTTGCCGTTGTAGTTGTTGTTGCACTGGCTGTTAAAAAAAATTAAGAAATGACACAGCTTGCTGCTGATGAATAAATAGTACATGATGTATAACAAAACATGCTATGACAAAGATATGCACAGATGTGTGCTGGCAGATGGGAGTGAGCATGTCAGTGGGAATGATGTAGAACATATATACACATGCATATATATATATATATATATATATATATATATATATATATATACAGGTGCTGGCCAGTAAATTAGAATATCATCAAAAGGTTGAAAATATTTCAGTAATTCCATTCAAAACGTGAAACTTGTACATTATATTCATGCAATGCACACAGACCAATGTATTTCCAATGTTCATTACATTTAAATTTGATATTTATAGGTGACAACCAATGAAAACATCAAATCTGGTATCTCAGAAAATTAGAATATTCTAAAGGCCAATGAAAAAATGTTTGTTTCTCTAATGTTGGCCAACTGAAAAGAATGAACATGAAAAGAATGTGCATGTATAGCACTCAATACTTAGTCGGGGCTCCTTTTGCCTCAATAACTGCAGTAATGCGGCGTGGCATGGACTCGATCAGTCTGTGGCACTGCTCAGGTGTTATGAGAGCCCAGGTTGCTCTGATAGTCGTCTTCAGCTCCTCTGCATTGTTGGGTCTAGCGTATTGCATCCTCCGCTTCACAATACCCCATAGATTTTCTATGGGGTTAAGGTCAGGCGAGTTTGCTGGCCAATCAAGGACAGGGATACCATGGTCCTTGAACCAGGTGCTGGTGGTTTTGGCACTGTGTGCAGGTGCCAAGTCCTGTTGAAAGGTGAAGTCTGCATCCCCATAAAGTTGGTCAGCAGCAGGAAGCATGAAGTGCTCTAAAAATTCCTGGTAGACGGCTGCATTGACCCTGGACCTCAGGAAACAGAGTGGGCCAACACCGGCAGATGACATGGCACCCCACACCATCACTGACGGTGGAAACTTTACACTGGACCTCATGCAACGTGGATTCTGTGCTTCTCCGCTCTTCCTCCAGACTCTGGGTCCTTGATTTCCAAAGGAAATGCAGAACTTGCTTTCATCAGAAAACATAACTTTGGACCACTCAGCATCAGTCCAGTCCTTTTTGTCCTTGGCCCAGGCGAGACGCTTCTTGCGCTGTTTCTTGTTCAAGAGTGGCTTGACACACGGAATGCGACACCTGAATCCCATGTCTTTCATGAGTCTCCTCGTGGTGGTTCTTGAAGCGCTGACTCCAGCTGCAGTCCACTCTTTGTGGATCTCCCCCACATTTTTGAATGGGTTTGTCGTCACAATTCTCTGCAGGGTGCGGTTATCCCTAGAGCTTGTACACTTTTTTCTACCACATTTTTTCCGTCCCTTCGCCTGTCTGTTAATGTGCTTGGACACAGAGCTCTGCGAACAGCCAGCTTCTTTAGCAATCACCTTTTGTGTCTTGCCCTCCTTGTGCAAGGTGTCAATGATTGTCTTTTGGACAGCTGTTAAGTCAGAAGTCTTCCCCATGATTGTGGTGCCTTCAAAACAAGACTGAGGGACCTTTTAAAGGCCTTTGCAGGTGTTTTGAGTAAATCAGCTGATTAGAGTGGCAGCAGGTGTCTTCTATATTCAGCCTTTTCAGAATATTCTAATTTTTTGAGATACCAAATTTTGAGTTTTCATTAGTTGTCACTTATGAATATCAAATTTAAATGTAATGAACATTGGAAATACATTGGTCTGTGTGCATTGCATGAATATAATGTACAAGTTTCACGTTTTGAATGGAATTACTGAAATATTTTCAACCTTTTGATGATATTCTAATTTACTGGCCAGCACCTGTATATATATATATATATATATATATATATATATATATATATATATATATATATATATATATATATATATATATATATATATATATATGTTCAAAGTGAAGCACATTGAAGGTGGATTGCATTCATGTAATGAAATTCCCTGTAAATAATGCAGTGGACCACATCAAGTTGTATCCTGTTGTGAGGTAGCTTAATCTTCACGGGGGTACAAGATTGTTGGGTGCAGAAGTACCATGTTAACGTATTCTGCTGTGCCATGACGAGCTAGACAGGACTGTGATCGTAGAGAAAACCAAAATATGTGAAGTATATGTTTTAGGGAAAGTTCCTTTAATAAATTTGACTCAAACTTTACTGAAAGACTCAAAAAGGAATCCAAAACAGGAGAAATGCGAGTTAGTCCATGGCAATGTGAGGCCACTTAGGGCAGGCCCCTAATTATAGTTAATCAGATTTGCACATGCAGCAAACTAATAAACAAAGCCACAAGGAATATAAAGCGTTGCTCCTTTTTTATGACATATACTTGAGATCAGCATCACACTTCCTGTAGCTCCCAGTTAACATTTTTAAAGACAAGGCTTTACTTTTAATGTTTTTTTATAAAGCACTTCAGTCAAAAGTGGTTTCATCTCCACCAAGCAGTTACGAAGGAAGGCACTGGTGACCTAAAGTTTAATAAAATAAAGAGTGTTAAGTGGAGTCTCTGTTATGGTACATGTAAATGTTGCAGTATTTTATAATGTTTTATAATGTCACATTCTTAAGTAGAACATTTAGCCAAACTCCAAAGACCATTAATGAGAAATATATGTATTACAAAAAAATTACAGTTTGAAACTTTAACTAATTTTAACGCATAGCATAAAGGTGTTACAATTTTAAACATGATCAGGACATACAGGATGTTGATGTTGGTGATGATACAATGAGTGGATGTAAAGTTGCATTTTGTGTTGGTGAAGTAACAATTGGAGTTGTGGTCGTGCCGACCAATAGCGAGGTATTGGGGGTTGGTGAAGTTGAGGTAAATTATGGTTGAAATTTGACATTTTTAAAACAGAAAAACTATTTTTTTAATGATTACGATAAATACCATAGGTAGGGGTGATTTTTCTGTGCAGGTCAAGATATTAATCTCCATAAAGAGCAAGTTACCCCTACCAGAGTCTTACTCCACTACCACTTCCTGTTTGAAAAATGCAACAAATGCAATTGCCTGGCAGACCGAGAGGGCGGAGCCGCTAACAAACCCACACAGGCTCACAATGACATGTGACATCATATGGTACCAGTTAACATCATAGTGTATGTCTTAGCCAATAGTGATGGCAGATTTAAATTCAAATGCAGTGCAGAGTTTTTACCTGAAGAGGGCACAACACTGACAGTTTTAGGCAAATTTTTTAAATTTTAACTATGATGCATTAAAGTGCCAACTTAGTGACTATACGTGTCTACAGCACGATTAGACACTCATTTATATAGTTTTTCAGCAAAAAAAAAAGTTTATTTGGGGTTGACTTGCTCTTTAAATGAAACGTTTGAAACACATTCAAAGGGGTTTTTGATAACTTTACCTGGTAAAGTGGTCGAGGTCACTGATGTGGAAGGAGCAGTAGTTGAAGTAATTACTGGAACTATGAGAATAACAAAGTTTAAGGAGTTGAAATATATTTGTGCATGATTTATCATAAGTTAATGAAAAACAAAGTTAAAAAGAATGTGTGCTCACCAGTTGCATTAATACTTGTCAAATTTTGCAGAAGGGAATCGTTGGAAGCTAATTTCGCCTCCAGTATAGTTTTCTCCACATCTGCAGTGTCTGGCACTGAGGTGGCATTTGCAAATATTAGATCTGAATCTGCCACAACTGAACCTCGCCTGTAAAAAAAAGTACAAAACATATTACATCTTAATAAAACACAAACAAATCTGTTAGCAACATTTCTCTTTAATGTAACTGAATGTACCTGAAGCTCCTGACACGAGATCTTCTAAATCGTCCACCATATTTTCTACTTAAGATGCCATCAAGCTGAAAAGTTAACATTAAAACAAATGAAAAGGTAGAAATGCAGGCACTGTTCCACCACACACACACACACACACACACACACAGAATCGAACACCCAGTAATGAGTGGTGATACTTACCAACTGTTGCAAATGTTGTGCCAGTGCTTGAAATGCATCAGAGGAAGAGTTGGACAGGTTGTTATCATATGGTTGGTCAAATGTTAGCTCCAGCACAACAATTGCCTCTGGTGGTGATGTAGTTGTAGTTGTGGGTGCTGTCATGGTAAGTGGTGGTGTTGGGGATGAAGAGGAAAAAAAGGGAATATTTATTAGAAAGACATTGTAAAACAAACATGCAATTTTACAAATTTTACATTTCAGATGGTGCATGTATTGGAATTGGAGTTGTAGTAACTGGTGAGGTAGATAAATAATTTCATCATACACACTGATTTTCTGAAATGAATTATTATGCTTTGGGTATAATAATAATTATTATCCATGGTAATCAGTAATGTGTGTTCAGTAAACCAGAAGGTCATATGCACATAACCAGCCTCACACTGAGGGTACCACAGGGTAAAAGTAAACTGCCATCACATGTCTTTGACTCATGGCCAAAGTTTTCTTGCTGAGAGTGGGCGTGTTCTGAGGGGTTTGTTAAAACTAAATTTCCAGCAGCAAAAGTTCAGTTCGTGAACCAACCACCATCCTGAGGATAAGGGAATGGCCGCCCTGAAGCCTCTACCTGCTGTTCTGTCACGCTGATAGAATAGCTTTGAATAAACGCATGATAACCAGAGTTATTGATTTTGAGACGCAAATAGTTTCATCAGTCGTGTGACCCACGGAGACATCCCAGGACTGATTTGGTCGCATTGAGGTCCTTCTACCAGCCTCGTGCTCGGAGGAAATCATCTCCACCTGACATCTCGGATCCAGAAGGGGGTCTCCTGAAACTGGGTGAGGTAGACACTTTCGACCGATGACGTCTGATGCTGTTTCTCTAAGTAACAACAGTTAGCTGCAAAACCATCATTTCACCCAGAACGAGCTTCTCTCTCTGAAAGAAACCTTCTGAGAACATTCAAGCATCCAAACTCGCATTTTCAATTTAGCTTGCATTCAGTCACAGGTTTGCCTTTAAACCAAGATTTAATATCAAAGCTGGTAAATTGTCATCCATGAATTGTCAGTTTTAATTGTCATTTCTGAATTGTCGTTCCAAGTTGTCAAGTTTAAAATTGTTAGTAATAAATTCTTAACTTTAAAAACTTGACTCTCTTCTTGAAATTAAACACAGAATGGTGTGTATTTCTGGTTATTGAAAAAGCAAAGATTCCTAACTTCTGATTTAAATAAATAAACTTTTGCTATTAAATTTAATTATCTTAAATTAAATATTAATCTTTGGATTGAATATAGACCAAGCAGGTTGGTGTATGAACTTCTATCGATTATATAAGCATCTTGGATATTTATACATGATATAAGCTCATATGCTAATGTGCTTGATCATTCTCAGAATCTAACAACTGATCGCAAACAGTGTTGATTCTAGTATGTAGAAATACGCTACACCTAAGAAATCAGCTCAAGGGCAAGAACAAGAGTCAGGAAATAAACAGCTATGCCCTGCTAGTAATCAGATATCTGTCAGGAATAATGAGCTGGCCAAAAGAAAAAATACAGACCACAGATGTTAAGACACAAAAGTTCCTAAGCATGCATAGACAATTCCACCCCAAATCCAGCACCCTGAAATTGTACGTTAGCAGTAAGGAAGGAGTCAGAGGACTAGCTAGTGTGAGAGGTATGATCCAAGATGAAACAGCCAAGATCTTTAAGTACATCAAGGATACGACCCCTATGGGTGAGATGCTCAGTGAATGTCACAGACAATGGCGAACAGAGGAGCAGGTGCTGGAAATACTATTGTGGAAGGACACCCCTACATGTGATGTACCATCAACAGGACATAGGACAACTGAGACAAACAAAAACTGAGGTTTAGGTAGCATGAAGTTGAGGTTTCTGAACAGAAACGTAAGTAGAAAAGTTCGCTTTACCTATGCACTCTTCTGAATTAGGATTTCTGAAGTTTATCCTGGAATATGGTGGGTAAAACTCATTTGTTCAATATCTGAAAGCATTGTTCTTTCATTGAAAAATAGTTATTTGATGACTGTGATGGCAGGATCTGCCACACAGCGGAAAAATGAGCGATTTGCCTTTATTTAACTACATTTATTTACAGTAAAATTTTGGTTACAGATATGAACACATACAAACAAGTTTGATCTCTGTTTAACTTTATTAAGTTGGGTCAGACCATTTGTTTGTCTAGAGTTGCCAGTAAATGTCCATTTCCCTGGGGACAAAGAGGTGATGTGGCAGAGGGAGAAGCCAGAGCTGATACTTTCTGAAAGGCCTCCACCACTGACTGAAAATGGGGGCGAGCCAGAAGGCTTATTTTGGTCTTGCTTCGTTATTGTTGTTTTTCCATTTATATAAACTGGTTTGCTAATTAATTGTCTATTTAATTCGCAGTACATGTGACCTTAAGGACTAGTCATTTGTTCCATTACTGTTTTACTCTTTAATGTTGTATTTGTGGTCCTTTCCCTCTCGTTTGTAATGGACTGACCGGCCAGTATAAAAACCTCGCTAGTGTTTCCTGTAGGAGGTCAGTTGGTGTTTTGTTTGCTAAGGGTATGTTGCTGTAAAGCTTTCTAGTTAAGTTGACCTGTTTAGGGCCCCATTTTGTCGTTTCTGTATTTTTGTTAAATTGGGTGAACAAAGCCCTGAATTTTCTGATTCCTTTTTCCTGTGGCTCATTTAAAACAGTTCTGTCCTGACAATGGCATTACCTGGTAAAGTGGTTGGAGTCACTGATGTAGGAGGAGCAGCAGTTGATGCATTTGAAAGTTCTACAAGAGTAAAAAGGTTTAAATATTGAAGTAGACACAATTTATCACGTGGTATTGACAATCAAAGATAAAACGTTGCTCACCAGTTACATTAATACTTGTCAAATTTTGCAGAAGGGTATCGTTGGAAGCAAATTTCGCCTCCAGTATAGTTTTCAGCACATCTGCAGTGTCTGGCACGGAGGTGGCATTTGCAAATATCAGATCTGAATCTGCCACAACTGAACCTCGCCTGTAAAACAAATGTACAAAACATATAATATCTCAGTAAAACACTATTTTCTTACATTACCTTTAGAAACAAATTTTTTTAAATCTGCATCTTATTTGTTGTGCACATTCTGTATTTGTAGGCAATAGTTCATCTACTAATCTGTTAGCAACATTTATCTTTAATGTAACTGAATGTACCTGAAGCTCTTGACACGAGATCTTCTAAATCGTCCACCATATCTTCTACTTAAGATGCCATCAAGCTGAAAAGTTAACATTAAAACAAATGAAAAGGTAGAAATGCAGGCACTGTTCCACCACACACACACACACACACACACACACACACACACACACACACACACACAGAATCGAACACCCAGTAATGAGTGGTGATACTTACCAACTGTTGCAAATGTTGTGCCAGTGCTTGAAATGCATCAGAGGAAGAGTTGGACAGGTTGTTATCATATGGTTGGTCAAATGTAAGCTGCAGCCCAACGATTGCCTCTGGTGGTGATGTAGTTGTAGTTGTGGGTGCTGTTATGGTAAGTGGTGGTGTTGGGGATGAAGAGGAAAAAAAGGGAATATTTATTAGAAAAAAACTGTAAAACAAACATGCAATTTTACAAATATTATTATAATATAATATTGAGTACAGAAGTAAAATGTGTTTATGTTTAGAGGGAAAAACTCATTTGTTCAATATCTGAAAGCATTGTTCTTTCATTGAAAAATAATTATTTGATGACTGTGATGGCAGGATCTGCCACACAGCGGAAAAATGAGTGATTTACCTTTATTCAACTATATTTATTTACAGTTAAATTTTGGTTACAGATATGAACACATACAAACAAGTTTGATTTCTGTTTAACTTTATTAAGTTGGGTCAGACCATTTGTTTGTCTAGAGTTGCCAGTAAATGTCCATTTCCCTGGGGACAAAGAGGTGATGTGGCAGAGGGAGAAGCCAGAGCTGATACTTTCTGAAAGGCCTCCACCACTGACTGAAAATGGGGGCGAGCCAGAAGGCTTATTTTGGTCTTGCTTCGTTATTGTTGTTTTTCCATTTATATTAATTGGTTTGCTAATTAACTGTCTATTTAATTCGCAGTACATGTGACCTTAAGGACTAGTCATTTGTTCCATTACTGTTTTAGTCTTTAATGTTGTATTTGTGGTCCTTTCCCTCTCGTTTGTAATGGACTGACCGGCCAGTATAAAAACCTCGCTAGTGTTTCCTGTAGGAGGTCAGTTGGTGTTTTGTTTGCTAAGGGTATGTTGCTGTAAAGCTTTCTAGTTAAGTTGACCTGTTTAGGGCCCCATTTTGTCGTTTCTGTATTTTTGTTAAATTGGGTGAACAAAGCCCTGAATTTTCTGATTCCTTTTTCCTGTGGCTCATTTAAAACAGTTCTGTCCTGACAATGGCATTACCTGGTAAAGTGGTTGGAGTCACTGATGTAGGAGGAGCAGCAGTTGATGCATTTGAAAGTTCTACAAGAGTAAAAAGGTTTAAATATTGAAGTAGACACAATTTATCACGTGGTATTGACAATCAAAGATAAAACGTTGCTCACCAGTTACATTAATACTTGTCAAATTTTGCAGAAGGGTATCGTTGGAAGCAAATTTCGCCTCCAGTATAGTTTTCAGCACATCTGCAGTGTCTGGCACTGAGGTGGCATTTGCAAATATCAGATCTGAATCTGCCACAACTGAACCTCGCCTGTAAAACAAATGTACAAAACATATAATATCTCAGTAAAACACTATTTTCTTACATTACCTTTAGAAACAATTTTTTTTAAATCTGCATCTTATTTGTTGTGCACATTCTGTATTTGTAGGCAATAGTTCATCTACTAATCTGTTAGCAACATTTATCTTTAATGTAACTGAATGTACCTGAAGCTCTTGACACGAGATCTTCTAAATCGTCCACCATATCTTCTACTTAAGATGCCATCAAGCTGAAAAGTTAACATTAAAACAAATGAAAAGGTAGAAATGCAGGCACTGTTCCACCACACACACACACACACACACACACACACACACACACACACACACACACACACACACACACAGAATCGAACACCCAGAAATGAGTGGTGATACTTACCAACTGTTGCAAATGTTGTGCCAGTGCTTGAAATGCATCAGAGGAAGAGTTGGACAGGTTGTTATCATATGGTTGGTCAAATGTAAGCTGCAGCCCAACGATTGCCTCTGGTGGTGATGTAGTTGTAGTTGTGGGTGCTGTTATGGTAAGTGGTGGTGTTGGGGATGAAGAGGAAAAAAAGGAATATTTATTAGAAAAAAACTGTAAAACAAACATGCAATTTTACAAATATTATAATAATATAATATTGAGTACAGAAGTAAAATGTGTTTATGTTTAGAGGGAAAAACTCATTTGTTCAATATCTGAAAACATTTTTCTTTCATTGAAAAATAATTATTTGATGACTGTGATGGCAGGATCTGCCACACAGCGGAAAAATGAGTGATTTACCTTTATTCAACTACATTTATTTACAGTTAAATTTTGGTTACAGATATGAACACATACAAACAAGTTTGATTTCTGTTTAACTTTATTAAGTTGGGTCAGACCATTTGTTTGTCTTGAGTTGCCAGTAAATGTCCATTTCCCTGGGGACAAAGAGGTGATGTGGCAGAGGGAGAAGCCAGAGCTGATACTTTCTGAAAGGCCTCCACCACTGACTGAAAATGGGGGCGAGCCAGAAGGCTTATTTTGGTCTTGCTTCGTTATTGTTGTTTTTCCATTTATATTAATTGGTTTGCTAATTAACTGTCTATTTAATTTGCAGTACATGTGACCTTAAGGACTAGTCATTTGTTCCATTACTGTTTTACTCTTTAATGTTGTATTTGTGGTCCTTTCCCTCTCGTTTGTAATGGACTGACCGGCCAGTATAAAAACCTCGCTAGTGTTTCCTGTAGGAGGTCAGTTGGTGTTTTGTTTGCTAAGGGTATGTTGCTGTAAAGCTTTCTAGTTAAGTTGACCTGTTTAGGGGCCCCATTTTGTCGTTTCTGTATTTTTGTTAAATTGGGTGAACAAAGCCCTGAATTTTCTGATTCCTTTTTCCTGTGGCTCATTTAAAACAGTTCTGTCCTGACAATGGCATTACCTGGTAAAGTGGTTGGAGTCACTGATGTAGGAGGAGCAGCAGTTGATGCATTTGAAAGTTCTACAAGAGTAAAAAGGTTTAAATATTGAAGTAGACACAATTTATCACGTGGTATTGACAATCAAAGATAAAACGTTGCTCACCAGTTACATTAATACTTGTCAAATTTTGCAGAAGGGTATCGTTGGAAGCAAATTTCGCCTCCAGTATAGTTTTCAGCACATCTGCAGTGTCTGGCACGGAGGTGGCATTTGCAAATATCAGATCTGAATCTGCCACAACTGAACCTCGCCTGTAAAACAAATGTACAAAACATATAATATCTCAGTAAAACACTATTTTCTTACATTACCTTTAGAAACAATTTTTTTTAAATCTGCATCTTATTTGTTGTGCACATTCTGTATTTGTAGGCAATAGTTCATCTACTAATCTGTCAGCAACATTTATCTTTAATGTAACTGAATGTACCTGAAGCTCTTGACACGAGATCTTCTAAATCGTCCACCATATCTTCTACTTAAGATGCCATCAAGCTGAAAAGTTAACATTAAAACAAATGAAAAGGTAGAAATGCAGGCACTGTTCCACCACACACACACACACACACACACACAGACAGAATCGAACACCCAGTAATGAGTGGTGATACTTACCAACTGTTGCAAATGTTGTGCCAGTGCTTGAAATGCATCAGAGGAAGAGTTGGACAGGTTGTTATCATATGGTTGGTCAAATGTAAGCTGCAGCCCAACGATTGCCTCTGGTGGTGATGTAGTTGTAGTTGTGGGTGCTGTTATGGTAAGTGGTGGTGTTGGGGATGAAGAGGAAAAAAAGGAATATTTATTAGAAAAAAACTGTAAAACAAACATGCAATTTTACAAATATTATAATAATATAATATTGAGTACAGAAGTAAAATGTGTTTATGTTTAGAGGGAAAAACTCATTTGTTCAATATCTGAAAACATTTTTCTTTCATTGAAAAATAATTATTTGATGACTGTGATGGCAGGATCTGCCACACAGCGGAAAAATGAGTGATTTACCTTTATTCAACTACATTTATTTACAGTTAACTTTTGGTTACAGATATGAACACATACAAACAAGTTTGATTTCTGTTTAACTTTATTAAGTTGGGTCAGACCATTTGTTTGTCTTGAGTTGCCAGTAAATGTCCATTTCCCTGGGGACAAAGAGGTGATGTGGCAGAGGGAGAAGCCAGAGCTGATACTTTCTGAAAGGCCTCCACCACTGACTGAAAATGGGGGCGAGCCAGAAGGCTTATTTTGGTCTTGCTTCGTTATTGTTGTTTTTCCATTTATATTAATTGGTTTGCTAATTAACTGTCTATTTAATTTGCAGTACATGTGACCTTAAGGACTAGTCATTTGTTCCATTACTGTTTTAGTCTTTAATGTTGTATTTGTGGTCCTTTCCCTCTCGTTTGTAATGGACTGACCGGCCAGTATAAAAACCTCGCTAGTGTTTCCTGTAGGAGGTCAGTTGGTGTTTTGTTTGCTAAGGGTATGTTGCTGTAAAGCTTTCTAGTTAAGTTGACCTGTTTAGGGCCCCATTTTGTCGTTTCTGTATTTTTGTTAAATTGGGTGAACAAAGCCCTGAATTTTCTGATTCCTTTTTCCTGTGGCTCATTTAAAACAGTTCTGTCCTGACAATGGCATTACCTGGTAAAGTGGTTGGAGTCACTGATGTAGGAGGAGCAGCAGTTGATGCATTTGAAAGTTCTACAAGAGTAAAAAGGTTTAAATATTGAAGTAGACACAATTTATCACGTGGTATTGACAATCAAAGATAAAACGTTGCTCACCAGTTACATTAATACTTGTCAAATTTTGCAGAAGGGTATCGTTGGAAGCAAATTTCGCCTCCAGTATAGTTTTCAGCACATCTGCAGTGTCTGGCACGGAGGTGGCATTTGCAAATATCAGATCTGAATCTGCCACAACTGAACCTCGCCTGTAAAACAAATGTACAAAACATATAATATCTCAGTAAAACACTATTTTCTTACATTACCTTTAGAAACAATTTTTTTTAAATCTGCATCTTATTTGTTGTGCACATTCTGTATTTGTAGGCAATAGTTCATCTACTAATCTGTCAGCAACATTTATCTTTAATGTAACTGAATGTACCTGAAGCTCTTGACACGAGATCTTCTAAATCGTCCACCATATCTTCTACTTAAGATGCCATCAAGCTGAAAAGTTAACATTAAAACAAATGAAAAGGTAGAAATGCAGGCACTGTTCCACCACACACACACACACACACACACACACACAGAATCGAACACCCAGTAATGAGTGGTGATACTTACCAACTGTTGCAAATGTTGTGCCAGTGCTTGAAATGCATCAGAGGAAGAGTTGGACAGGTTGTTATCATATGGTTGGTCAAATGTAAGCTGCAGCCCAACGATTGCCTCTGGTGGTGATGTAGTTGTAGTTGTGGGTGCTGTTATGGTAAGTGGTGGTGTTGGGGATGAAGAGGAAAAAAAGGGAATATTTATTAGAAAAAAACTGTAAAACAAACATGCAATTTTACAAATATTATTATAATATAATATTGAGTACAGAAGTAAAATGTGTTTATGTTTAGAGGGTAAAACCCATTTTTTCAATATCTGAAAGCATTGTTCTTTCATTGAAAAATAATTATTTGATGACTGTGATGGCAGGATCTGCCACACAGCGGAAAAATGAGTGATTTACCTTTATTCAACTACATTTATTTACAGTTAACTTTTGGTTACAGATATGAACACATACAAACAAGTTTGATTTCTGTTTAACTTTATTAAGTTGGGTCAGACCATTTGTTTGTCTTGTGTTGCCAGTAAATGTCCATTTCCCTGGGGACAAAGAGGTGATGTGGCAGAGGGAGAAGCCAGAGCTGATACTTTCTGAAAGGCCTCCACCACTGACTGAAAATGGGGGCGAGCCAGAAGGCTTATTTTGGTCTTGCTTCGTTATTGTTGTTTTTCCATTTATATTAATTGGTTTGCTAATTAACTGTCTATTTAATTTGCAGTACATGTGACCTTAAGGACTAGTCATTTGTTCCATTACTGTTTTAGTCTTTAATGTTGTATTTGTGGTCCTTTCCCTCTCGTTTGTAATGGACTGACCGGCCAGTATAAAAACCTCGCTAGTGTTTCCTGTAGGAGGTCAGTTGGTGTTTTGTTTGCTAAGGGTATGTTGCTGTAAAGCTTTCTAGTTAAGTTGACCTGTTTAGGGCCCCATTTTGTCGTTTCTGTATTTTTGTTAAATTGGGTGAACAAAGCCCTGAATTTTCTGATTCCTTTTTCCTGTGGCTCATTTAAAACAGTTCTGTCCTGACAATGGCATTACCTGGTAAAGTGGTTGGAGTCACTGATGTAGGAGGAGCAGCAGTTGATGCATTTGAAAGTTCTACAAGAGTAAAAAGGTTTAAATATTAAAGTAGACACAATTTATCACATGGTACTGACAATCAAACATAAAACGTTGCTCACCAGTTACATTAATACTTGTCAAATTTTGCAGAAGGGTATCGTTGGAAGCAAATTTCGCCTCCAGTATAGTTTTCAGCACATCTGCAGTGTTTGGCACGGAGGTGGCATTTGCAAATATCAGATCTGAATCTGCCACAACTGAACCTCGCCTGTAAAACAAATGTACAAAACATATAATATCTCAGTAAAACACTATTTTTTTACATTACCTTTAGAAACACATTTTTTTAAATCTGCATCTTATTTGTTGTGCACATTCTGTATTTGTAGGCAATAGTTCATCTACTAATCTGTCAGCAACATTTATCTTTAATGTAACTGAATGTACCTGAAGCTCTTGACACGAGATCTTCTAAATCGTCCACCATATCTTCTACTTAAGATGCCATCAAGCTGAAAAGTTAACATTAAAACAAATGAAAAGGTAGAAATGCAGGCACTGTTCCACCACACACACACACACACACACACACACACACACACACACACACACACACACACACACACACACACACACACACACACACACACACACACACACACACACACACACACACAGAATCGAACACCCAGTAATGAGTGGTGATACTTACCAACTGTTGCAAATGTTGTGCCAGTGCTTGAAATGCATCAGAGGAAGAGTTGGACAGGTTGTTATCATATGGTTGGTCAAATGTAAGCTGCAGCCCAACGATTGCCTCTGGTGGTGATGTAGTTGTAGTTGTGGGTGCTGTTATTGTAAGTGGTGGTGTTGGGGATGAAGAGGAAAAAAAGGGAATATTTATTAGAAAAAAACTGTAAAACAAACATGCAATTTTACAAATATTATTATAATATAATATTGAGTACAGAAGTAAAATGTGTTTATGTTTAGAAGTTAAAACCCATTTGTTCAATATCTGAAAACATTGTTCTTTCATTGAAAAATAATTATTTGATGACATTACCTGGTAAAGTGGTTGGAGTCTCTGGTGTAGGAGGAGCAGCAGTTGATGCATTTGAAGGTGCTACAAGAGTGAAAAAGTTTAAATATTGAAGTACACAATTTATCACGTGGTACTGACAATCAAAGATAAAACATTGCTCACCAGTTACATTAACACTTGTCAATTCTTGCAGAAGGGTATTGTTGGAAGCATTTCTCGCCTCCAGTATAGTTTTCTCCACATCTACAGTGTCTGGCACTGAGGTGGCATTTTCAAATATCAGATCTGAATCTGCCACAACTGAACCTCGCCTGTAAAACACGTTTAAACAATATTAGATCTCACTGAAGCACAATTTTCTAACATTACCTTCCAAAACTACATTTTAAAAATCAGCCACATTTTTGTGCTCCTAATGTATGTACACATTTGTAGACAAAAGGTAATTTGTCATCTAAAAAACTGTTAGCAACATTTTTCTGGAATGTACCTGAAGCTCTTGACACGAGATCTTCTAAATCTTCTACCATATCTTCGACTAAAGATGCCATCAAGCTGAAAAGTTTAAACAAATGAAAAGGTAGAAATACAGGTTCTGCTTCACCACACACACACACACACACACACTCACACACACACACACACACACACAAAGAATCAAACACCCACGATAGAAATGAGTGGTGATACTTACCAACTGTTGCAATTGTTGTGCCAGTGCTTGAAATGCATCAGAGGAAGGGTTAGACAGGTTGTTATCGTATGGTTGGTTAAATGTAAGCTGCAGCCCAACGGTTGCGTCTGGTGGTGATGTAGTTGTAGTTGTAGTTGTGGGTGTTGTTATGGTAACTGGTGGCGTTGAGGGTGAAGCAATAGTTGAAGTAACTGGTTGCCGTAATGTTCCAGTTAGAGGGGAAAAAAAGATGATATCAATTAGACACACATTAGACAGGCATGCAATTTTTACAATAATTACATTTCATATGGTGCATGTAATGGAATTGGAGTTGTAGTAACAGGTTACATAGGTAATATAAAAAAACTAATTATAAAAAAACGCACACAGCTTTACAAATATTACATCACCTTTACTGCCTGTAGGAATGCAGCAGTGTCTCTATGCTGCTAAATAAAACCAGCTAGCTGTTATATTTTACCTGCTGATTGTGAGGTGGGTGATGTGAGTTGTGATGTTGTATTAAATGAAGTGATGTTGACTGGTACTGCTGTTGCACTGACTGGTGGAGAAGTTGAATTTATTAGTGGTGAAGTCACATTTGATGCTGGAGATGAGACAATAAGCGGAGATGAAGTTAGGTTGTGTGTAGATCAGGTTTGCTCAACCCTGGTCCTAGAGAGCCTCTATCTGGTGTTTCTTAGTTGTTTCCCTGCTCTGACACACTCAAGTCACGTATTCAGCAGCTCATCAAGTGCTGCAGAAGCCTGTTAATTACAAGCTGATTAAAACCGGGTGTGTTAAAATAGGTAAATAATAAAACATGTTGGATAGGGAACCTAGAGGACCAGGAGAACCCCTGTTGTAGATGAAGTAGAAATTTAAGTTAAAGTCATTTTAAATAATGGTTATTAATTAATAGCCTGGCCTGCCAGACATGTTCTCTGTTTAATTCTACACAGAGAACTAGTCTGGTTACTTACAGGCAGAGAGGCACATGAGGGGCAGGACTAGCCAGCTCAAAAATAACTAATCAGAAAAAAAGGCCGAAATGCTGACTGTAACGTGCAACGCTGTAGTTTTTGTGCTGTAGTCAAAAATGGCGTCTGCCGACTGCGCAAACATAATTTTTCTTTAAAAGAAAGGCTTTTAGCGCTACTTGTGGTTTTAAAGACATGTTCAAGTCATGCAAAACAGAGGAAAGAGCCACAGCAAACTCCGCTTCAGTCATCATGTTTAAGAGAAACTCTGAGTTGTGATGTGTGGCGTACGCTGCTCAGTGCTGATTGGCTCGATTAGAATTCTCAAGGGGTGGGGTCATAAGAATAGGAGAGTTCCCAGACCCATTGCCTTCATAAGGAAGCACGGGGCTGACTGGTCAGGCTAATAGCTGGTGAAGTTGAGTTCAATGGTAACATCTAACTTCAGAAAACAAACCACTAATGATCACTAATGATTGTTTTCATATGAATATTTTTCACTAATATCATAAATAGAGGTAACATCTGTGCAGGTCAATCTAATTCATCTTCTCATGTTAACCAATTTATTCAAATTTTATGGTTCTATGATGATCTTTCCTGTGAAAGTGGTCAAAGTTATTGATGTTAAAAAAATGCATAAATATAGTCGTGTTTTTACAAAACACATATTGTTGCATGTTGAAAAATAAGTGTTTTCTTCAGTTTTGTCCACTCTGTAAAATCAAATGGCTGTGATGTAAAAAGTGCCTGAATTACCTGTTGGTCGTATGGTGGACAATGGGAATTGTGATGATATGTTTGATGGTGGTGAAGTGATATTGACTGGTGTTGGAGTAGCACTGACGGGAGGTGAAGGTGAACTGACTGGTTGGGAAGTTGCATTTAGTGATGATGTGTTGCCTGCTGGTGAAGTTGCACTTGTTGCTAGTGAGGATACAATAAGTAGAGATAATGTCACATTTTCTGTAGATGAAGTAGCAGTTGGAATGAAGGTCACATCAACTAAAGGTGATGAATTGGGAGTTAGTGAATTTGAGTACAGAGGTAAAATGTGTTAATGTTTAGAGAGCAAAACTCAAATGTTCAATATCTGAAAACATTGTTCTTTCATTGAAAAATCCTTATTTGAAAACATTACCTGGTAAAGTGGTTGGAGTCTCTGGTGTAGGAGGAGCAGCAGTTGATGCATTTGAAGGTGCTACAAGAGTGAAAAAGTTTAAATATTGAAGTACACAATTTATCACGTGGTACTGACAATCAAAGATAAAACGTTGCTCACCAGTTACATTAACACTTGTCAATTCTTGCAGAAGGGTATTGTTGGAAGCATTTCTCGCCTCCAGTATAGTATTCTGCACATCGCCAATGTCTGGCACTGAGGTGGCATTTTCAAATATCAGATCTGAATTTGCCACAACTGAACCTCGCCTGTAAAACACGTTTAAGAAATATTAGATCTCACTGAAGCACAATTTTCTAACATTACCTTCCAAAATTACATTTTAAAAATCAGCCACATTTTTTGTGCTCCTAATGTATGTACACATTTGTAGACAAAAGGTAATTTGTCATCTAAAAAACTGTTAGCAACATTTTTCTGGAATGTACCTGAAGCTCTTGACACGAGATCTTCTAAATCTTCTACCATATCTTCGACTGTAGATGCCATCAAGCTGAAACGTTTTAACAAATGAAAAGGTAGAAATACAGGTTCTGCTTCACCACACACACACACACACACACACACACACTCAAAGAATCAAACACCCATGATAGAAATGAGTGGTGATACTTACCAACTGTTGCAATTGTTGTGCCAGTGCTTGAAATGCATCAGAGGAAGGGTTAGACAGGTTGTTATCGTATGGTTGGTTAAATGTAAGCTGCAGCCCAACGGTTGCATCTGGTGGTGATGTAGTTGTAGTTGTGGGTGTTGTTATGGTAACTGGTGGCGTTGAGGGTGAAGCAATAGTTGAAGTAACTGGTTGCCGTAATGTTCCAGTTAGAGGGGAAAAAAGATTATATCAATTAGAAAGACATTAGACAGGCATGCAGTTTGACAAATATCACATTTGAAAGAACCAAATAGAGTTTAGGTCACATCAAATAATGGTTATGAATTAGAAGTTTGTGAAGCTGATGTATAAATAATAACAAATACATACATATAAAGTCATAATTTTACATTAGATATGTTGCATGTAGCAATGCAAAAGTGGAGTCTTGCTGCTATTATATTACCTAATAAAGCTGTCAGTTTGGTTCACTGTAAAATCAGGTGGCTGTGATGTAATGACTTTAAAAGTGACTGAATTACCTTTTGGTTGTGTGGTGGACACTGGAAATTGTGATGTTATATTGAATAGTGGTGAAGTGATGTTGCCTGTTGCTGGAGTTGCACTGATTGGAGGTGAAGGTGAACCAACTGGTTGGGATGTTGCGTTTAGCGTCGGTGATGTCATGTTGAATGCTGGTGAAGTAAAACTGATTGGAGGGGATGGTGAACCAACTGGTTGGGATGTTGCGTTTAGCGTCGGTGATGTCACATTGATTGCTGGTGAAGTAAAACTGATTGGAGGGGATGGTGAACCAACTGGTTGGGATGTTGCGTTTAGCGTTGGTGATGTCACATTGATTGCTGGTGAAGTAAAA